TTCCCAGTGACCACAAAGGTAAAGACTATTCTTCCTGGTGACCACCATGCTGATGTACTGTGAGCTGGAGATACAGTAATTATTAGTAGGGGTTCCCTGAGCCTGGGAAGTTCTTTCAATGGTTCCTTCAGTGTTAAAAAAAAGTTGTGAAAGGCTGCTCGAGTTTGGGTCCCAAGCCAGTAAAGCTTGTTTGTATATAAAAAGAAAGAAAAGACATCTCCTCAGATCACATACCCTCAGGAGAACCTTGCATTTGTCCCTTCTCCCATTCATGTGACTGCTCTGCTGGAACCACACAAGAATGTAGGATTATCTCTTCAACAAGAACACCGAGTACAGTAAAACGATGGCAGAGGCCCCATCCTTTCCTTATTAAAAGCTGTTTTTTTGATTTAGGATAGGCAAATGAGGATATTATATAAAATGGCCAACATGCAGGCCTTGACACCCCACTTGAATCTTCTTCAAAGGACATTTTTTGGTGTTTCTGATTCTGGTTCATTGTGCACTGATGTGCAGTAACAATTGTATTTCTGTACTCCCATGTGGTTCAAAGACCTGAATCACAGAGGTTTAATCAGGATTCCACCCACCTTTTACCACGCTGCCCTTTGCACAATGCTGCCCCTCCACCTGGTCATTTTTTGTGAATCAAAAAGTGGTAACCCTACTTAGGGGTATCACAGGGCTTGCAAAGCAGTACAAGAAGATTTTCTTAAAGGTAGACTTTTTTTTTAAGCATATGTCACGTAAGGAGCGAGGATGGTGAAATTATAGGCTGCTTTCGATGGGAAAATCAGTAATTTTGCAGCAAAAATCAATTTCCCCAATTTTGTCCTGCTCATCCCTAATAGAGAAAACTACTGTTTGTGAAACCAGAAATACACTATATTGCCAAAAGTATTTGGACACCCCTCCAAATCACTGGATTCAGGTGTTCCAATCACTTCCATGGCCACAGGTGTATAATATCAAGCACTTTGGCATGCAGACTGTCTCTTCAAACATTTATGAAAGAATGGGTTGCTCTCAGGAGCTCAGTGAATTCAAGTTTGACACCTGTGCAATAGGTCCATCTGTGAAATTTCCTAGCTAATAAATATTCCACAGTCAACTGTTAGTGGAATTATAACAAAGCAACTGGGAACAACAGCAACTCAGCCACAAATCACTCTACTCTGTTTGGCAACCAGATGGAGGTGTCTGGGTTTGGCAGTTGCCAGGTGTGGGTTGTTTGTCAGGGGTTGGGCTTGGCCCCTTAGTTCCAGTGAAGAGAACTCTTAAGACGTCAGCACACTAAGACATTTTGGACAATTTCATGCTCCCAACTTTGTGGGAAGAGTTTGGGGATGGTCCCTACCTGTTCCAACATGAATGCGCACCAGTGCACAAAGCAAGGTCCATAAAGACATGGATGAGCGAGTTTGGGGTGGAGGAACTTGACTGACCTGCACAGAGTCCTGACCTCAACCCGACAGAACACCTTTGGGATGAATTAGAGCGGGGACTGTGAGCCAGGCCTTTTCGTTCGACATCAGTGCCTGGCCTCATAAATGCGCTTCAGGAAGAATGGTCAAACGTTCCCATAGACATACTCCTAAACCTTGTTGACAACCTTCCCAGAAGAGTTGAAGCTGTTATAGCTGCAAAGGGCGGGGCAACTCAATATTGAACCCTACAGACTAAGACTGGGATGCCATTAAATTTCATGTGCGTGTAAAGGCAGGCGTCCCAATACTTTTGGCAATATAGTGTAGTTTGCTGTACCACAAGTTGCTGAGGCTAGAGCTCAGTATGTAGCCTTGATGATTGAAGGAGGTTTTAGTTCTTCCTCCAACCCCTTTGTCTTTTTCTTTAAGATTGTTTAAAAATCTTTTATTGGGACTCTCATTTTATGGCTGACTGCCCTTCAAAGCTTTGGTTAGATGTATGAGGAAGTCCTGTTTATAGGTTTTATTCCAACATGAAACACGTATGAATTCACGCATGGATTTTACGATAAGGAAAGCATTTATGTTGGTATATTAAGTCCACCATAGATCTTGGCTACCCAGTCACATTTACATGCAAGCCTTCTGATGCACGCTTGGATTTGCCGTTTTAAAAAGATGATAACTCTCTCCTTCTCTGCCTTTATATTAGGTATTAACATGACTTTTTGTGTTGGGGCATTGATAAAATGGAATGAAGGCCTACTCATATGATCTTTGCCCTGGGTCCACCAGTGTCGTAAAACGGCAGCTCTGGATATTAGATATAATAAACTCTGCCACTTTAGGAAATTCTGTGCAGTACCAGCTTTGGATACAAAGATTATTATGGGCTTCCAGTTTCCTGCATCAGCTGGCCATAGTGAAGGCCCTATAGCGGTGCGTGACCTTGTCACAGTGTGGCCTCATTATCTCTCAGCGCAGAGGCAAGTGTCACCCTAAGCTAGCCAGTGCTCTGCTGGAGAGAAGGGGGGGAGGTGGTACACACTGTTTATTGACTGCAAGGAGGAGAAAGATGACTGAAAATAATAGGACACAGAATGATAGTCGTCTATGTACATTTGTAAACATTTGCCGGGGGGCTAACTACAACTACACTAGAACCTTGCAGCAAAATCATCACGAGGCCCCCATTACTCTCAAAGCTCCATCTTAAAGTGCTATGAAACCTAAAACACAAAGAATTAAAGCTACATATTAAAGATCATTCACATATATCTAATACTGACACTTTTTTCAGTTTTGGATAGAGAGGAGAAAGGATAAAGCTTATTGTGTTCCTGCTAGGGAGATTCATTCTGTTTTGTTGTCCTAGTAATCATTGTTTCCAGGACTGAAAATCCAAAACTTTGAATTATCACCATAAAATGAATAGTGTGGAAGTCTTCCAGCTGGGACACTGGTGCAGTGACAACTGTCTTAAAGAGGATTTCATTTTTTTGAAGGCCACAATAGCAGCCATTCAGAAAATAACGATGACAATTAGAGTCACTTGGCAGGTAGGACTGAGTCTTCTGAATGTGTTCAAATTCAGCAATTTCATATTTCAATGAAGTTTTTTTTTTTTTTTAAAGAAATCCCTTCAATAGAGAAATACAAAGGCTTCCATCAGTTACCTCCTTCTGAAAATAGATAATTTCCTGGCACTCATGTTATTCAACTGGCTTGAATAGGTTCTAACTACCTAACCTGGAATAAGAATGTAAATCAGATGTTCTGGTCAGCTGTTCTGCCTGTGCTCAAATGGTTTGCCTAAGTTTGCCTAAGTGCCAAATCCCCACCATGCTGCTCATCCTGTGGTGAAGAATGAAGGTTTTGGTCTGCTCATAGAGGAATATTCCAACAAACTGGAGACTAAATGCTAGAAACGCCTTATCACCTTCCATGTGTTTAGAAACAGAAAACAGTTTTTGAAAGGGATTGAAAGGGATAATGCAATTGGGAGCCTAACTTGTACTTAATGGTGTCAGGGAGCTAGGAGACAGACACACAAGGAGGTGCAATTAAAGGTAGGTTTATTTACACAGAAACAAGCCAAGAGTCTATGCAAGTCTGACAGCAACAGCGGATGACTTGGTAGGACAGAAGTTCTCTTGCCGAGGTCGTCTTCCAGGATAATCAAGTCGAGAACAAGCAGGAATCGTAGCCAAAGCCGGGGTCAGAAGCCAGGAAGAATGGTCGCCAGAGCCAGGGTCAGAAGCCTGGAAGAATGGTCACCAGAGCCAGGGTCAGAAGCCAGGAAGAATGGTCGCCAGAGCCGGGGTCAGAAGCCAGGAAGAATGGTCGCCAGAGCCAGGGTCAGAAGCCAGGAAGAATGGCCGCCAGAGCCAGGGTCAGAAGCCAGGAAGAATGGTCGCCAGAGCCGGGGTCAGAAGCCAGGAAGAATGGTCGCCAGAGCCAGGGTCAGAAGCCAGGAGGAGTCTTAGCCAAAGCCTAGTCGGTATCCAGGAGAGCAAAGAGTTAACTGAACAGGAGCTTGCTGCTGTGCAACAGACAGGACACGAATGCAATGGACAGCTGCAAACAGCAGACTTAAATGTGATAAGCTGCCACCTCCTGGGAGGAGCCACAGAGGGCTGAAAGCATAAAGGATCCCACAATGCTTTGCAGACCTAAGATGGATGCCAGCACATGGAGCAGCACAAGCCCTAAGGAAAGGTAGGACCTTGATAGTGGTCAGTCTTTGGCCAACCCAACTCAGCGCTTATTCACTAAAGAGTTAAAAGGAGATATCTCGTTGCACAGTAAACAGGTAGCTTCAACGCCCTCTGTCCTACATATCAGTTCTGACTTTAGTGTGACTTAAAGCCCAACTGAATCTTTGCCTGCAATAATCATTTACTACTAGGGCAATAGGCAAAGCTTTTGACTGCAGTGCTGACAGGGCATGGGGTGTGCCAATCGATTGTACAGACCCACTGGTCCTTGTAGTCTGCTGCCTGTTCCTTGGCTGGATATGGGGAGTAGTAAAAGGTCTATCAACAGCAAGTCTTGCCCATAGAAGCTTTTACCTCCTTGGTGAATTCTTATGTGTAATTTCTGACAAAGCTTCATTTTGGGCTTTAGATGCATTATTGTGATTGGTCAGCAACTCAAACTATTTAAAGCGTAACTATTATTATTATACAGTATTATATAGCGCCAACAGTTTGTGCAGCAGTTTACAATATAAAGGGAGACAATACAGCAACAATACAGTTCAATACAGAAGGAATAGGAAGGCCCTGCTCATGGAGCTTACAATCTAAAGCAGTGATGGCGAACCTTTTTGAGCCTGAGTGCCCAAAACTGCAACACAAAACCAACTTTTTTATTTCAAAGTGCCAACACTGCAATTAACCACTTGCCTACCGGGCACTTCTACCCCCTTCCTGCCCAGACCAATTTTCAGCTTTCAGTGCTGTTGCACTTGACAATGACAATTGTGCGGTCATGCAACACTCATTTTTTCACACAAATAGAGCTTTTTTGGGTGGTATTTAATCACCACTGGGTGTTTTATTTTTTGCACTATAAATGAAAAAAGAGCAAAAAATTAAAAACATAAAAGGTTTTCTTTGCTTCTATTATAAAATTTTGCAAACAGGTAATATTTCTTCTTTGATGTGCATTGGTGAGGTTCCACGAATAGGCAGCACTGATGGGCATTGATGAGGCGGCACAGATAGGTAGCACTGATGAGGCGGGCATGGTGGGCATTGTTGAGGAGGCACTGATGATGCACTGATAAGCGGCACTGACTGATAGCACCAACTGGAGGCACTGACAGACGGCACTGATCGGCGGCACTGCTGGGCATCATTGATGGGTGACACTGATGGGCACTGACAGGTGGCACTGCTGGGCAGCACTGACAGGTGGCACTGCTGGGAAGCACTGACAGGCGACACTGCTGGGTGACACTTCTGGGCACTAATGGATGACACTGCAAGCAGTTAATCTCACCTCTGGCAGTGTCGGTGTGGCTTCCAACCCAGGAGCTCATTCCCATCCACGCTGAACACATCGCTCCTGGCCCCGGAGCAGTGTGGGAGCCTCTTCCTCTCTTCTACGCCCATCCCCGGCTACATCACCCCTGGTGCCAGATCTGCATAGGAGCCGTTTCCTCTCGTCCACACCCACCCTGGCCCCAGAGACATGTGGGAGATGTAGTTTGATGGGGGTCCAGTGTGGACGAGATCTGGATAGCCGGTCAGTGTGCGCTCATCTTCCTCTTCTTCCTGGCGTGCCCACTGAGATGGCTCTGCGTGCCAGCTCTGGCACGCGTTCCATAGGTTCGCCATCACTGATCTAAAGGGTCTAAAGAGCAAGAGTAGGCACCATGCTTGGCATACTTACAGACTTACTTATGGTTTTGCGTGCTGAAAGCACTAGCAATTCAGAGTTGTCCAGCACTGCTCCATTCACCGCTGCCATCTTTTCCACTACCTCCTACGTTTTCAGCACACAAAAAGAAAAAAAAATTACTAGGAAATAGAGGGAAGGGTTTTTTGTCAGAAGAGACATGAAAAATGTCTTCTGCCCCAAACTCTACTTCCTAGTATTTTTTATTTTAAAAACATATACTTTAAAGTGTAACTAAAGGCAAAACTTTTATTTAGTTTTGGATAGAGTGAAGAGAGTTTAGAACACCTGTCAGTTTCTATTGCTGTCCTTACCCCTTTTTTCATCCCTTTTCTAATAGGGACATCAATTCAGTTGATTCTGGTGACATTCAGGGATTCTCTGACTTTGGAGGGATTTCCTCTCACCTTCTGTTTTATTTATGGGACAGGAAGTGAAATCTCCCCAATGAGACACAGAGGGCAAAGAAAAGGGTGGAGCCTACATGCTGACGTCACGCGCCGCGTGCGTGTTTCGGAGCGGTGGCCATTTTGGTATGTGTATTCACACATGTATACACTGTTTTCACGTGGAAAGTTTTTATTTTGCCTTTTAATAAATACTACACTATAAGCGTTCTTTTGGGCTCCGTGTGGTGAGCTTTCCTTCTAGGAGGATCTCTGGCTAAGGATTGTGAATATTGTATCTGATTGACCATCGATTATTGCTACTATACCAGTAGCATTCTGGTGAGTGCATAGTGGTGGTGGAGTGTTCCCTGGATCCCTTGCCACTGTTTTGGAGTTGGACAAGTTGCTGTTTTGTGTCTTGCAGTACCACTGACACAAATATGGACTATATTTTGTCACATTTTTATTGTGATTTATACTAGCACCTATATTTTACACTGTATGGACTTTATTCATTTATTGTTTCATTGATGTTTACGTTTTGTTTGCACTTATGTGTAAACTTTATTTGGTGTTTTTCAAAACTCTTGGATGTTTTACTATATGATTTAGCGCTGCACTTTATACACATATGTTACTGTGAGATTTATTGTCTCTTGTGCTAGCTGCTTTTTTGCTATACAACAGCGCTCTCCATATATTATCTTGAAAGAAAAAAAACTGACAGGGGTTTGTAACCCTCCCATATGCCAACCAAAAAAGAACAAAAAAAGTTTGCCTTAACTTCTGTTTTAAACCAGAGACAACTATCATTTTAAGCAATGACGTCCTACATGTTTCTCTCAGTACAGGTGCCCTTTAATAAATGACTACATGTTCAATCACTCCTTTCGATTGCAATAATTTTTATAAAGTATTAACAGAAAATACAAATTTTTTTTCAGATTACTAAAGGTTGCAACAAGTCTTGCTTTTTAAGAAACACGTTAAGGAAATGTATTCTAATAAAGGGAGACACTTCAACCTGCCACTGGCCACTATTGCAGAATTGTTTTCAGGAATAAATCTTCAAGACGGTACAACTATGAATGTTACAGTGAGATGGGCGACAAAGAACCAGAGCCTGCACTAAGCCTGGACTACGAGAAAAGGGTTCTGCTCTCCAGTGATTATTGGTTCCCCCTTCGTCTCTCGCTCTCCTCTCCTTTTTTATCTATCTCCATCTCTTCTTCATCTCTCTCGATCTCTTTCCAGAGGTCCTGACAGCTTTTCAAACAGAGTTTGCCTCCAATGACTTTGTGAGACGGTCCCTGGGGCTGTGCGGAAGAGAGGACGGGCAGGAGATGATAGCGCAGAGAGACAGCACCCCTTCCCCCTTCTCCAGAGGGAAGACATGGCTACCCAGAGTGCCAGTGACCCTTACTCTGCCATCTCGCCTCCATGCGGCACATAGGTGGTTAAGCTGTTCAATATGATCAGCACGTGGCCCTCACTGAGCTGAGGGAGAAGGGTGAGGGGACTGCTGACAGGATAGGCTTAGAGCAAAATCTGTCTCACAGAATTGTTTTATTACAGGGACCGATCACTTTAACTAAGAAGGGCATTTTTACATCATTTTTATTGTTAGTTTGATGCACTTAAAGGGTCATTCCACGAAAGCATTAACCAAGAAGTTAATGTAGGGACTCTGCTTTAAAGCGGATCTTCACCTTTACACCTACCCAGGGGCGGACTGACAACTCATTGGGCCCCCGGACAATAGGAATCATGGGGCCCCTGTGTCCTTGCCCAAACTCAAAAAAGCCTATGAAAAAGATACCAGGGCCATCTCATGGGGCCCTCTACTGACCCCGAGCCCTCGGGCAGTGCCTGAGTTTCTAAATGGTCAGTCCGCCCCTGCACCTACCGTCATTCTAAGTCTCCCTCATTCCTGTTACATATTTGATGGGCATTTTTTTTTTTTTGGAGCAAAGGGAGCAAGTACCTTTTTGCTAGCTCTTCCTTATTCCCCATCTAGGCAGAGGCGATGTAGTCATTGACCCATCTGCAGCCTTTAGAAAAGTCTCCTTGCAGTCTGTTATCTTACACATGTGCAGCAGAGAGTGGGGTGGCTGTGAATGATCAGGAAGTGACAGTTGATTCCCAAATACAAGATGGCTGTGCAAGACTTCTGGTGTAAGGAAGATGGCACTGAATCTCATAGGCTGGTATTCATAAGTTTTTTTTTAAATCAGCAGCTACAGTACTTCTAGCTGCTAACTTTTATTTTGGAGTTGCGTTTTCATTTGAAGTGTCCCTAGTCTAAACTTAGTGGTTGCAGCTAGGCTATAGTCAGCCTGAGCTTACTTTAAACATAGTCTACTAACAGTTCCAATAACTAAGATGGTTGTAGACAAAGTGGGGTAGTCTGTGAAGCTATCAGCATATATATATAGTAATCGGTTTTACAACTGTTTGGCACAGCTTTCCAATAATATGTGACTGCAGCATCTTGAACAGTTGAGAATTGTCTCTGCCTGATATATATCATACGTCAGCATTTCTCAACCAGGGTTCCATGGAACCTTAGAGTTCCTCCAGAGATTACTAGGGGTTCCTTGAGCAATGAGCAACTTCTGCCTCTCAGATGAGTAACCACTGACACCAATGATCTTTTAGCTTTTGTAAGGGGGGTATTCATCCCATGACATTAAGTGTAAGGAGTATTCGTCCTACTGGTTATGTCAATGTACTGTCAGCTGTAGATAAAGTAACTATTAGCAGGGGTTCCCTGAGACTTGAAAATTATTTCAAAGGTTCCTCAGTGCTGAAAAGTTGAGAAAGCCTGTCATACGTTGTCTATTTCTGATTAAGACAGTGCTCAGGAACAGGGGCGGACTGACAACTCATGGGGCCCCCGGGCAATAGGGGATTATGGGGCCCCTGTGTCCTTGCCCAAACTCAAAAAAGCCTAATAAAAAGGTACCAGGGGCATCTCATGGGGCCCCCTACTGACCCCGGGCCCTCGGGCAGTGCCAGAGTTTTCAAATGGGTCAGTCCGCCCCTGCTCAGGAATCCGGCCAGTAGGTCCAAGCTGAGGTAGTCAATAGGATACATTAGTCAAGTTTTTTTTAGGAAACCAGAGTATAAAGGAGGGGAGAATGGAGAGACTAGTAACGATGAGGAACCATCACCTATGGTCCATCGCCTAGGTGGGTAAAGTCAGAGTTATAGGGAAAGGAAACGTGAGGAAATAAGGAAAAACATTGGCAGGTATAGGTTACTGCAGGAATTGTTTTTATCCATTTTGGAGCTGTAGGTTGGACACCCATGTATATTTGTCTAGAGCAGCCTTTTTCAACCTTTTTATCCCAGAGGAACCTATGAAATAATTTTCAGGTCTTGGTACCCTTGCTAAATTTAGTTCATTGGTGGTTAACAGGACAAATGCCCCTCTTATATCTGTGGTCAGGATGCCAACATTACAAACAGATAAGAGGATCACTGGGTGTCAAGGTCCTACCTTTTCCCTGAGGTTATGTTACTCCATGTTGCTGGCGTCCATCTTGGATTCTGCTGTGCATGATGGGAATCCTTTTTATGCCTTC